TAATGGGGAGATGGACCTGAAAAGGAAGGAGATTAACAATTTACTGGTGGGAAGAGGAATCGTTAGAAAGGTGTGGTCGCAGAGAAGCCTGATTGCTGAGATGGAACAGGATGGCCTTGGAACCCACATGGTGGAGAGGGAGGCCAGAGTTTTTCTTTTGAGATTGGAGGGGCCTGGATTTGGAAAGTGAAGTTTTTTAGGGGCCGAAAGACAGGAACTGGTGTGGAATGAACCCTGGGAGTCAGAGTGAAGTGTTCTGGAGGGCTAGGGCCTGGTCTGGGACCCCCGAAAGACCACTGTCCCCAGACAGTGACAGTCTAGGACCCCTGTTGTGTTTGGGGGTCCCAGACAATGTGTTTGCCCTTCTCTAGGCCTCAGTTTCCTTGTCTTTCAAATGATGAAGTTGGCACTAGGTGTTCTCTAAGGTGGTCGTGACATTTGGGAAGCCGGTCCATTTATTCTTGTTAGTGAAGACAGGTCCACTAAAGTACATACCTCTTTCCCTGTTGGAAAAATGACCCCATATTTTTTGTATGCTCTCCAGTTTTGGGGGAAAACAATACAAACAAGCAACCCCACAACCAGATGTATTTCATCTCTTTCAGCAGTGTGGCTTTACTTTTACTTCTAGTGAATAGCGAACAGGAGGGAAAAGAGAAGTCCAAGTCAATAATCTGCTAGGGACCCTATAACAAGGCCCTGCAAAGTTGTGTGTGTATGTGTGTGGGTGTGTGTGTGTATGTGTGGGGGGGGGTCTCACAGACCTGAGGAGATGGGTGGGTGGCATATATCACTAGCAGGCCTTACTCCCTAACCCAATCTCAAAACAAAGTCTTGGGATGAAGGTGAAGGAAGGGCCTGGCTTAGGGTAATATCCTTTTCCTTCATGTCCTTCTCCCTATCTCCGTTTTGTGGAATTCAGTACCCTCAAAGAAACACTATCCTTAATAAGCACAACAGTGCCCTCTAGTGACCTTACTGAGGACAACTTTAACAGAGCTCCCCAGGCATCCCAGGACCAGCTTGGTTCCCAGTGCCCTGTGCAGCTGTTACTCCCTGTGGAGAAGGCTCTTAGTCCTTCCAACTAGCCTGACAGAGAAACTCAGGTAGCCACTGTTTCCTGCAAGTCCTTCTCCTTGCATATATGGATGGGGCTTGGGGTTTACAGAGGGAGTCAGCGGCCCCAAACTTCCTCCCCAGTGCTATTTCCTTTGGGCCCGAAAAATGTTCCAAACTTCCTTTCCTAGACATCTTCAGTGCTGAGCAAGACACTTGGCATGGGAAGCCTCTATGGTAGAGTGGGTAGTTGTCCATTCTTCCACCTACTCTCATCCCCAAGGTGGCCGTGCTAGTCCCCAGACAGGGATTCTGCCAAGAAGTTGGAACGTAGCAAGGTGGCTGGTGGTGGAGTTGGGTTGGTGATGGGTGTTGGGTACCTTAGTCTCTAACTGGAGGCTGAGCCATAGGTGCACAACAAGGTGGTACAGACATACAACATGATACAGGCACACAATGCCCACAACACTATACAGACACACAACATGGCATAGAGATATGACACAATATGAATGAGACACATCGCACATACACAAAGCATGGAGGAGATGCAACTTACATTTAACAGAGTACAGCCCCGTAGCGCTCACACAGTAGCTTATGGACACGATCATATATACAACATATACAACATGATATTAACAAGGCACTGTACACATACACAGTATGATGCAGACTCAATACATACATATCATGGTAGATATGACAGTACACATACATAGACATGCAACATGGTACAGGGAACTGCACAGATACACATGACTCAGTATGCACATGTGCTCACACAGGATATCTCCCCTGGCCCCACTCTCAACACACTCCGAGGCAGGTGAGAGGAGTGTTGCTCCCAGGTGGAATACTGTGTCCCGTCAGTTGATTCTGCAACTAACTCTAGCTGGGCAAATGGTTAGAATCATGGAAGGCCGTCATGCAGTTAGAAAGTGGTGCTACAGTTGGGGCTAGGGGGAGTGGAGGTAGGCTTCAGGAAAGCTCTTGATCTTGCTCAAAAAACCTGGAGGTTCTTGGTAGTAAGGTTGGGGGTGTCTCCTCCTCCTATAACATCTTCTAGTACTCTTTCCAACCCCCAATGGGTGGATGCTGCCTCTGCTGTCTGCCCTCATCCCAGGATGGGCAGGGGGCTTCTGAGGCCATTCTTCCCATGCCCTCCTTGAGCCCCACCCCTCTGTGCAAGTTTTGCAGCTCGCACTCCTCTCCTCCTGCCCCACCCTCTTGCAGGGTGAGCTCACGCAGGAGGGAGGGGGCGAGTACACCATTCAGTGGCGCAGTGGGTGGGATTTGGAAAGGCTGCTTGGAGTGTGCATGTGGGAAGCACACATGGAATGCCAGGGATGCTTGGGGACAGACATGCTTTGGAGTATTGCCCAAGAGCGAGAGGCAGACCCAGAGTATGGCTTGGACTTTTTATTCCAGAAGGGGGGAATTGCATATTATGGGGCTTTTCTTGGCTCCCTAAGGCTTCAATTTTTGCAAACTCCTTGTTTAGATATTCATCTAGCCATCTCTTTGGATTAGGACCCTGTTCATTCTGGTCTCTAATAAATAGGTGCTAGCCTGAATCATGCCTTCTTGAGAATTAGCATGTAGTTGCTGCTTTTCTTTGAGGACAAACACCATTGGGAGAAGGGGAAGGAAAGCAGAGGATGATGGATTGCAGGACTTGGGGTCCTACAAAGAGAATATCAGTTTCTTCCCTGTAGAGGCTCAAATGACTGTGGGAAAAGGCAGAAAGGGAGGGGCCAAAGAGACTGTCTCCTTCATGGTTAGACTTGGAAAGCTCTGTTGGAAAACTAAAGTAAATTATCACCAAACGACAACAGTAAACAGTATATATTCACCCTAAGGAACCTGGGGAAGATTGTCAAGACTTACCTGGTAGAGATAGGAGAAGGTAGAGGGGAGCTCCAATTAGGATCAGAGGCTGTGGCCTTCAGCACCTGAGATGGTAGCAAATTAGGAGACCTCAGAATGCTGTTGCCTGGGAGACAGACATTTTTTCCCCTTCTCCAGTGAAAGAGGTTAGTGAAAAAGGGAATGGAAATGGAGGTGGAGACTTAGAGTTGAGGGTTGAACTGAACTGAACTGAATGCAGTGCCACAACATCAGGAAGCTCACATATTCACCACAGCCAACCTGCATTGGCCAGTGTCAGTTCCTTTTGTCCACTGGACTCTGTCACCTCCTGTGATTATACACATTGCTCCATAATTATGCAAACTATATAAATATTTCACATCTGTCTTATTTGATTTAGTTTTCCCAACACTTATCCAAGGCAACTAAGGCAGGTCTTTTCACTTGATAGCAAGCAGGCCCAGAATGATGAGGTCACTAACAGCAATTCTCAACTTGTAACTACCGTCTCCTGACTCCCACTTCTCTGCTCTTTCTGGAATCCTATGTAACAGTGCTTTATTACACACTTCTTAGCTCTCTGATTTTCTAGCTTTCTTAAGGGATTTTTGAAATTCACCAGAGAGAGAGAGAGAGAGAGAAAGAGAGAGAGAGAGAGTATGCGTGTGTGGTGTGTGTGTGTGTGTGTGTGTGTGTGTGCGCGCGCGCGCATTTGTATTTGTGTGTGTATGATGATGTTTGGTGGGGGTTGGATACGGGAGCAGTAGCAGGTGGGGAAAGAGGTTCCCCCTCCCCCACAATGCTTTTCTCGGCAGGTTTCCCCCAAGAAAGAGCAGCTGAGTTCTTGCGTCTTGTGGCAGCTGGTGTGTCCAGCACTGAGTCCGTAGGAGCTGAAGTCAGCCTGGGCCCTTCTCATGGGCAGTGCCACCTGTGCTGAAGTCCGCAGCAGTGGCATTGTGAGGTGAGTAATGAAGTCCACTGCAGGGAGTTAGGGATCTCCAAATACATACAAATGCTGCCTTTCCACCAGATCTCCCAATATCAAAGACTGCCTGGACCTCATGAGCTAGGCCTCAGGGCATGACCCCTACATTCTGGGGAATTTTGCCTAGTACAGCTGCCTTTGGTCTCTTGCTTCCCACCCCACCTGTAATATGGGAATGACAGCCTTGACCTACATTTTGGGGTGAGGAGGAGAAATAACGTAACAATCATTGCCAAGTCCTTTGCAGATGTCAAGCAGCATCTACGAGCTTCAGTGTAACACAGACATGCTTCCCATCAAGCTGTCATTTTCTTTTCCCTTCTTTCCTGGTGCCTGGGTGGCTTTTTAGCCACATGCTGCAAATTTGCCAATTAGTTCCTGTGATTTCTACTGCCCAATAACCTTAATTTTGCCTTCCTATTTGAAGTGTACCACCACCCCTTCCATCCCTGCTTCTAGGCCTGTCAGGCTTGGCTTAAATCTTCCTGAACCTTCTCTGCTTTCCCACAAAACCAGGATATACTGCCTCCAGCAGGTCCCAACAACACTTGAGTCTGTAGCATGCAGTGTAGCACTTGCTGCCCTTCTACTTTAAGTAATTCTTGGATGGTTTCTGGAGTATTCGTCTTACCAGGAAAACTAGACTGTAAGCTCTTTAAGGGCAGGGACTAGATCTTATAGATCTCTAGTCTCCCTTAAAAGGGCTCAGCAGTTCCCCAGCAGCTTTGCAAGTTGGGCCTCTCTCTCTTCCTCTGCACTTCTTTCAGGTTTCATGGCCTGCCTCTCCGATCATTTCTCTGTATCTTTGTCTGCCTTTCAGGCAGGCATCATAATTTCTTCTGTCAGCTTCTCCATCTGGTGTTCTGTTGTTATTCCCTGCAGTCCGGCTACCTGCTTGTAGCTTGCTGTCCCTTCATCTGGTCTTCTATCTGTCAGCTGCTTAGGCATCTCTCCTACTACCCAAATCAAAAAACCACCAACCAAATGTTTTAATAAACCAACCAGAAAAACGAACTAAACAAAATCAAGCAAGGAATAAGCAATGTAGTTCCCTTTCACACTGAGCATACATTGGACCTACAGACAAGGTAAAACTCCAGCTCAGTGGCAGGTGTTTCTCTGATGCCTTCTTATGAAAGAGAAGCTCCAGAGTTTCAGCCTTGGAATTGAAGGTATGAAATTACAGCCTTGTTGATACTGATGCATTCAACTTTCTAGTGATGTTCTGGTAGGGGATCCTCTATAGACCTTGATGGACAGAAGGTAACTAGGACTGACTAAAATGAGAAGCCCCTGGATCACTCTTTGGTGTTCTGTGACAGATGCAATAATAACTTGTATTTCTTGTCTAATGTTGCCAGCTCTGTGCTAGGCACATACCAATTTGCTCCTATGGTAATCTTGCAAGGTGGGCATTCTTTTTTCTAGTAGTTATTGCTGTTTCTGACTATACAAGTGATACTAGCTCAAGTTAGATAGTATCATCATCATTGTTTTACCAAGGAGGAGATAGAGGCTGAGAGAAGCTAAGGAACTTACCTGTAACTGGAGACAAGCTGTGGCTTTGGGAAGAAAGAGACTTTCTGGAGAGAGTTTCCCAGCATCTCATACAAAGTTATTTTGGTATCTTTAGTTCACGTGCACACACATACATACTCTCATAAGCACATCCATGTACTCTTGTACATTCACACAGCCACATTATCCCCTGGGCTCACTCACTTTTCATACTGGGGTCATTCAAAGTGATGATTACTCTTACCCCTCACTCTCACAGACAATCACATTTACATACATGCTACATTCAGGTACATTCACACTGCCACTAACCAGCATACACATATTCACATTTTCATATTGATGCACACAATACACTTACCATATACCCGACCTTCATGTTTATAGCCACTCACACCTTTGTGCTATTAATATTACAGTCTCACACACAGTCATACACTTTCACACTTAATCACATTCACACAGAGGATACAATCACCTTGCCTGCTCAAATTCCTATGTAGTCATACACACTCTGTACACAAATAATACATTGACTTCCCCCTGCGCACACTCCATTTCTTACACTCACAGCCATGCATATGCTCAGTTTCATATACTCCAGTGTACTTGCACGGAGGTCATCACTGTTTCTTCCTCAGAGTCACAAACCTATCACAGGGACACAAATGTACGTACATGCTCATATATCCATGTTCGTATTTGCTCATACCATAAGAAGCACCATCTTACCCACTTGCACTTTTACGCTTAGAATTACACGCTCTTGCATGCATATACACAGAGCTAAAACAATCTCCCTGCCCCTGACACATTTACACATAATCATAGTCATACATAGAAACACATATTTTGACACACACATTCACACTCACACACTTTCTTCACACTGAGACATCATCACACTCTATACCAAACTTGCAGGCACACACTCTAAAATACAGCCACACACACACACATTTTTATAAACTCAGCTGTTTTTACTGACAACCATCACTACCCTCTCAAACTCAAACACAATCACTTATACACACAGGTATATTCACATTGAATGACATATACATATGCTCACTCATATTCAGTCCTCATACAAATTCACATAAAAATACATACTGCACATGTATTTATACTCTCACATATTCACTCACTCCCATTCACAACTGCACACTCAAAATTATACATGCCCTATTTCCCATGGACACACAAGCGTACTCCTTCACATTTGTGTACATGAACATGTATACCCTCTGACATACCATCTCCCACTCATATCACTCATTTTCACACTGGTACAATCAGACTTGCCACACACTCACATTCTGATACATTCCCACTCTTCTTTTCTCATACTGACATGCCCTTTCTCACATTGCTACATACATTCACACCAGTGCACATATAATGACATGCAGAGTCACTGACGTGCATTCACACTAGCACATACCACACTGACATACACAATTCACATTGCAATAGTCAGTTGACTGCCTCACACAGGCAATTACTTATACCACATATGGCAACATAGGCTCACACACTCACCATGCCACATTCTCACGTTAATACACTTACCTGAACACACCTGTTCAGGAAGTCACACTCCTGCAATCCACCATATACTCTTACCCAGACTCTCACATGGACACGTTGACACTGAGCTACCACTGAGATAATCACATTGACCCATATCTATTTATGCTGATTCACACATAGTGATAGTAACCCACACTCTCACGCATCCATACTTTCCCAAACTCTTTATTTAATTAATTAATTTTTTAATTATACTTTAAGTTCTGGGGTACATGTGCAGATCTTGTAGGATTGTTACATAGGTATATATATGCCATGGTGGTTTGCTGTCTCCATCCCCCCGTCACCTACATCTGGCATTTCTGCTAATCTTATCCCTCCCCAATCTCCCCACCCACTGCTATCCCTCCCCTAGCCCCCCACCGCCAAACTGACCCCAGTGTGTGATGCTCCCCTACCTGTGTCCACATGTTCTCATTGTTCAACACCTGCTTATGAGTGAGAACATGTGGTGTTTGATTTTCTGTTCTTGTGTTAGTTTGCTTAGAATGATGATTCCAGGTTCATCCATGTACCCACAAAGGACATGAACCCATCCTTTTTTAAGGCTGCATAGTATTCCATGGTGTATATGTGCCACATTTTCTTTATCTAGTTTATCCTTGATGGGCATTTGGGTTGGTTCCAGGTCTTTGCTATTGTAAACAGTGCAATGATGAATATACGTGTGCATGTGTCTTTAGAATAGAATGATTTATAATCCTTTGGGTATATACTCAGTAATGGGATTGCTGGGTCAAATAGAATTTCTATTTCTAGATCCTTGAGGAATTGCCACACTGTCTTCCACAATGTTTGAACAGTGTAAAAGTGTTCCTATTTTTCCACATCCTCTCTAGCATCTGTTGTCTTCAGATTTTTAATGATTGCTATTCTAACTGGCATGAGGTGGTATCTCAATGTGGTTTTGATTTGCGTTTCTCTAGTGACCAGTTATGATGAGCATTTTTTCATATGTTTGTTGGCCACATAAATGTCTTTTTTGAAAAGTGTCTGTTCACATCCTTCACCCACTTTTTGATGGGGTTGCTTTCCCAAAGTCTTAATCGTCCCCCCTCATACCAGCAGGCCTGCATTTACGTACTTTCTCACTGACACACACACACACATACTGGGATACATCTAATTGCAAGCAATAGTTAATATTCATAGTTGTCACTCTCTTTTTTCTTTGTTTGCCACTAATGCTCTCCTAACCCCCTGCTGAAAGGTTATATTGGCAACCAATTACCAAAGGAAAAATGTTAGTCTCATCCAGGAAGTCAACAAGAAATAGATCTGTTAAGAGCAGAAAGGAGTAGAATTTATGTCTAGGATTAAAAAGAAAAGGCTCAAACCCACAGATCAAGTTTTCTGTTTGTTTGTTTGTTTTTTATCCTTTCCACATACTTTTTTTCTTTTTACAGAGGTCATCTCTAATGCAGCTTTTAGCCAGTCCTGTGTAACACAGGTTGGAGTTTAGATACTGTGTTTATGCTACCTCATTTCTCTTCTGTGGTGAAAGGAAGGTGAAGGATGTGTTTCTTTATGTGCTCTTAATGGTTTCATACACAAAAGTGCGTGTCTCTGGTTTTATAGTTACGATCTGGAATTGCCTGCTGTTACACACATGGAAAGGGCAGGCCTGCTTCCACCTCTAATCTAGCCAGGTATGCTTAATACCCTGTTAACCCTGGAACATGGCACTCAAGGAAAGGAAAGAGAAGGGTAATGAACTAGCTGGATGATAAGGTAAATTTGTACTGTAAGTGTTCGTGTGCAATAGTAGACCCCACTGAAATTTCAACAGCTGTTACTAACAAGTTGCCAGAGGAGATTTTTCAGTAGGCGTGGATAAAGACAAGCTGAAGGAAGTTTCTTGCACT